GGAGAAGGCCTTGGCTATGGCAGAGAACAGACCATTACCTACATTGCACAACAGTTCTCATATCCGCGCCCTTAGCATGGATGACTTCAAATATGCGCACCAACAGGTTTGCTTTTTCAATTCAACCCTCTAAAAGCTAGCCTCCAATGATTCTCTCAAACTGTTTGAAGCTATTTTGAAACACTAATAGTAACCCATAGAGTGTGTGCGCCATGTTAAGAAGAAAAGTGTTGAAAATGAGAAAGGTGTGGTTGGAATATGTTAAGAAGAGAGAAATTTTCCAAGCCACATCATTTTCCTTAACACTATGTTTGGTTCAAGGAATTTGGTAGGAAAAGAAAAGAAAATGGTTTTCCCTCATTTTCCTCACCAAAATGGGAGGAATTTGGTTTTCCTTTCCCTTAGTACATCTTGCCTTCTATTTTTCTTTTCCTTCCACTTTTCTTTTCTTTTCCTTTCTAACCAAACAAGAAAAAATATTTTCCTTCTCATTTTCTTTTCTTTTCCCTCTCAAATTCCTTGAACCAAACATAGTGTAAAAGAAAAGTGAAGTTTATTGTTTCATGTAAAGCTCATGGTGGACAAAGTCTTGAATTCTCGTCCTCTCTTTTCCACAACAAAAAAATGCAGGTGTGCGCGAGCGTGTCATCTGAATCAACAAATATGAACGAGCTCGTGCAGTGGAATGAGCTATACGGAGAAGGCGGATCGAGGAAAACAAAGGCTCTAAGTTACTTCATGTAGAGGGGAGAGTGAGAAGAGAGTGAGAAAGACAAAAAAGTGTATAGCAGCAAAACATCAGAAACAGCAAAAAAGCCCTTGTTGTAGAGTCCATTTTTTCATATAGGGGGGGCAAAATAGTGAGATGTTTCCTCCCAGATATTGGGAGTGTGGGCAACCATGCTAGGGGCACACCACCCCTCACTCCATCTTTCACCCCACTTTCTGACACCACCACAACAGAAGCTTGTCAATGGGAGGAGGAGAGATGTGTTACTACTACTACTGTACAATGTGAGAAAATTAAGTTTTAAAAGTGGGGTGAGAGTTGGAGTGACTTTAGCATTTTCCATGCCATCTTAGGGGTCTGCCTTTGCATTTTTCTTTTCTTGTTTTTAGAGAGATTCTGAATTTCTTCAGCTACATGTGTATCATATTTTAATTTTTTATTCTAAATTATTAAAATATTGATAATAATAATAATGATGATGATAATCTGAAGCTGTTTATGACTCCTTTTCTTTAACATAAACAAAAACACTTCCACCGGATACGGGGCAAAACAATTAGTCTACTTAATTCACAAATTACTTCGTTGAATGAGTGTTTTTTTGGATATTACATTAATTTCAAGAAGCAATTTTTTAAAGTATTAGCAATTGAATTTCCTTTTTTTTAATTAACGTGGATTGTTTATGAATTTGTTATGGAGTACTTATTTGAAAATTTATCTATCAATATCCATCACAATTTGAATATCATCATGCAAGTCTAAAATTTGATCAATTATAGAGTATAAATGACTGGTAGAACTTGAGATTGGCACATATTCTTGCTCCAAAAGATGAAATTGCCTCATCCCATGTTTGACGGGATTGTGAGATGGGATAAATCATGGTGACTCAACCGGCAACAGAAGTTTGGACCAATGCCCACTGCCTACTGTGCATAAGGAACATCACTCATTTTTTGAGAGGTTTCTCCCACACAGCTGCTGATAACTGCTGATGAGGCTCAATTTTTAGTATTTTGTTTCAAATTTTATCTCTTAGACCAGTTGAGTTGTTCATGCGAACAAAAAAAAAAGGATAAAGATTCTAAAAAAGAATGCAACACGAAGACTTTCCAAGGGGCTACTTATCATAGTATTACTCTAGACTAAGCACACTTAACTTCGATGTGTTCTGATGGGATCAAGTATATTACTCCGTAATTCTTAATGGGTGAAATGGTGGATGTTATTTGCTTTTGTGGGAGCATACTTTGACTGATATAATTCATTGAAATTGGTAATAAAAGTGGAATGAATTTGTAAATTTGATTTGTAAATTCTAAAAAAATCTGAATTACTCAATTAAGGGAGGGAAATTTAAAAAAAAAAGGTACTCCGTAATAAAGAGAAGAAATTCAGGTAGTTTAGTAAATTAGTACCGTACTTTCTTATCTTCTCAATCTGTCATTAATGCACACCAGTGTTTTCTTTTATGTACAGATTGAGTTCAAATTATTTGCAAACCACAAGTAGATTCAAAATACAAAATATTGAAACAGAAAAAATAAAATAGTGCCAGGGGCAAAATGGGTAATGTCCAGGTTCAATTTCCGACAATGGCTCTACCGGAAACAAATCTCACTCTTTATTTGTCTTACTAAGATTCTAGTTTAATTTACTTCATCTCACATAACTGTCCGGCCAGTTCATCATTTTTTTAGATTAATTTACTTCAACAATTAAACTCCCATGAAAGCTCTGCATTGATATTCCCAGTGCTCCTTTGCTTGTTTAACCCTTTCTACTCGCTCGCATTGAATTCGTTCTTCCCAGTAATCAGGACAACTGCTTCATACCAAGTAACAAGACATTGCTTGTGTGAAAAAAAACAATTTTGAAATCATATTTGCATAATTCATATGTGTAAAAAACAGACCTTCGGCTCAATAGGATATTCAGCTCATCAAGATGAACTGCTCCTTCGTACACGTCTTCCTGAAATAGTAGTTTAAAACTCGTCAAGTATATATAACATAAATGCGGTTTTATCCTATAGTTTAAATGATCGTAGTTTAAAGCCTTGTATATAAAAGGACTTGCCTCGCGGCAAAGAGCACATTTCTGGGAAGGGGTTGATGCCTTGAGCCCATCCACTATGGTCACTGATGCAGCCTTGCAAGCACACATGTAGCAGAAGATATGACCACAAGTTAAGGAGACCGGATCAAACACTGTATCCTGCAAAACCCACCAATCTTATTCTTCCAAATCTATGTCGTAAACACAACAATAACAACAAACCAAGTGAAATCTCGCAAAAAAGTAAGGTCTGGGAATGGTGTTTGTACGTAAACCTTACCCCTACTGGGAAGTAGAGAGAATGCTATCAAAATAGCACAAATGGAGTATGGGTGAAGATCAAAGAAACTTGCTTTTTGGCTTGCAACTATTTTCAATATAATCCAAGCACTCTTCTTCTTTTTCCAAAACTTCTACCCAAATAGCAACAAACAACTAACTAAAAGGAGTACAAGGTGAGCACCATAGAACATATGAGATTCTTGGGAACTTACCAAGCATATAGAACATGTCAAGTCTAGATCAAGCTTGATCGAATCGGAGAGCTCACACGAGAGAGAAGGTTTTCCATCTTTGAATGCCAATGAGCACCCCTCGAAGAGGGAAACCGGTTTCTTCGTATGATTTTTCCCTTTCAGCTCTCTCATGTTGATATGGAAAGCCATGAGCTCACACAGCCACGGCGACTGGAGTATCTCTATGCGCATACTCCGGGCTTGCGTTTTGAACGCCTGCCCTTGCTTGGAGTAGTGAATTTTGTCATATTTCTTGAGAATCTTGCGCATCGCGATGGCATTGATTATAGCATATGTGACCAAGTCCTTTCCTTCTTGGATCAAAGCACCATGGTTAGTGTGATGGACTCTGCCTTTAAACCAGATAAAACACTTGTTGAAACTGGATGCGAGATGCCAATCGAGCAACTTTTGAGCGCGTTCGTTGAAACACCACACCACCGCAGACATCTCATTCACAAGTGAAGGGAAAAATGTCCCATCGCATACTGCACGCGAATCACAAAGCAATAAATCACGCGAATGTCATGTGATTTTGTAATCCAAACAACAACAACAACAACAACAACAAACAGAGTAAAATCCCACAAAAAGTAAACAGAATAGCACAAACAAAGTAAGAACAAAAAGACATCCAATGCTAAAATTTATCCAATCCATATGATGATGGAATAGAAGACAGAACAAGAAAAAAAAACCTGGGCATTGATTGGGGCAGGTGGAGCTGCAGGGAGGAGGATGAGGAGATGAAGAATTATGGTTCTGGTCAAGAAATCGGGCATGGGAATCAATGTCTCTGCTGCACCTCTTCAAGATTTTCTTGAGTTTCTTGAAACCAACGCCGGGGAGTTTCTTCTGCGTTTGCCCCTCCATGTACTCTTCGTATTTCTTGCAAAATTTCATCTTTTCTTTTTCTTTTTCCGAATCTGAAATCTCAAGGGGATGATGGATGAATTGTGAAGAACCCTGTTTGGGGATTATCCCTATTTTCTTCTTCGCGACAAAGGACACCTGATGATGATGATGATCTAATCCTGTCGTACAATTCCTCCCAAATATGCCGTACTATACGGAATAATTAGAATTTTAAAAAAACATGATCTATTAATAAAAATTACTCCATCTCTCTAAAGAATTACTCCATAGTTGAAATCGGTCCCGAACGTCCAACCACCTGTTTTCGTGCTGACACTTTCAAACCATAGCAACCTACCCGGTAGGTTCACAGGTCATGTCAGGACAGAAGATCGCCAACATGAAGTCATGTACTCTGACTGGTAAGCCTATATATATCGTACCGGTCGACTTTTCGAGTTCGACTAGTCGTTCATCCTTTCGTTTAGACCTTCCATAGTGGCGTCTGACACATCAACTGTTGTAGACCCGGATTCGAACCAGGTTTTGGGTGGAATACACCAATCATACAACATTTGATGTACCCCATTTGTACAACAACATTCATTATCTTATATTCTTTATCTACTTAGTAATTTTTTTATTTTACTCGTGATTGTACGGTTGAGTTACAATAAGGTACATATGGTGTACACTTTTTGGCGTAATGTAACATTTTCTAAAAAGAATCCTTAGACACCAAAATCTTCTACACTCTAGGGACCCCAGCCCACACCAAGTTGTAGTTTGGATAGAGAGAATAAGAGTATATGATCCCCAAACTAACCAATCAAAGTAATCAAAACAAAAAAGCCAAAAACCAGGTGCCCATCCACCATTTTTACATAAATTTAACTGTTCTTCCATTACCGGCGAATCAGTTCGCTGTTTCAAAATACCCCCTTTTTCTAATTATGCGCTGTACAATTCCACTATAAATAGTTCCGCACCAGAGCTTATCTAAATTATCATTTATAACCACCACCACCACCACCACTATTTTAGATCTCAGACCGTTACGATTCTTCCGGCGACGATCAGGTAGCAGTTGAAAATGACGACGGAAGCGGCGGAGAGACCTGTGATGATCGTCGCCGTCGACGACAGCGAACACAGCTTCTACGCTCTCAGTTGGACGTTGGATCACTTCTTCTCCGAATCCGCCTCTCCTTTCAAGCTCGTCCTCCTCCACGCCAAACCTTCGCCGGCTTCCGCCGTAGGCCTCGCCGGCCCCGGTAACCTCGAGCGCTCGATCCTCGAAACAAATATCATCGCGATCCGATCGGTTATTTTATTTTATTAAGAAAATCGAAATTCTGCAGGGGCTGCTGAAGTGCTGCCATACGTGGATTCGGATTTGAAGAGGATCGCTGCGCGGGTTGTTGAAAAGGCCAAGGAAATTTGCGCCTCTAAATCGGTAATTTCAAAAATAATGCCAATTTATGTTTAAATTTCTGTTTATTTATTGAAATAAATCCGTTATTCCATATGTATTTGCTGATCTGATCTAGACAATCGGTCCATTTGAATCAGGTTAATGAGCCTGCAATCGAGATTGTTGAAGGAGATGCCAGAAATGTCCTCTGCGAGGCTGTGGAGAGGCACCATGCCTCTATATTGGTTGTGGGGAGCCATGGTTATGGAGCCATCAAGAGGTATCAATATATCTTCTTTTTAAGAAGTTACACTATATGATTGAAATTTATCTAGAAAAAGAAAAACAGTATGCACCACTTAGTTTTTTAATTGAAATTTGTCAATTTTAACTTTTTTGGAGCGTTGAAGAAATTTGATTATTAATTAAATAAAATCTATATTACAGAGCATATATTAGTATGTAAACGATTTCAATAGATTTATTTTGTACTCTACTATAGAGTACCCGGTTATTTTGTTGTGTTAATATACAATGTAATTTTTATGTAATTAATGATTAAAATTTATTTAGTTTGACTCAATATTCTAGACGTAGGAGATAGTATATGAATTCTCTTTTTGACGACGTTTAAGTTCTAAGTTGTATTTTTGACGACGCTTATGAATTGTATGGATCAATTATATATGATTGAGTTTCGTGGAGGAGATAGAAATTACATGAACCACACAATTATTCATCTCAAACCTGCAAATGTTCACTATGCTCCAAATATCCAAATCCTATAGATTAAAATTCATAAAAATTTTGATGGTGGTTTAATTTGTGGTGCAGGGCTGTACTGGGCAGTGTAAGTGACTATTGTGCTCACCATGCTCACTGCAGTGTCATGATTGTGAAGAAGCCAAAGCATAAGGCCTAAGGTCTGCTGCCATCATAATCATCATCATCATCCCTTCCTGTTTGATTGAGTCCCAAATGTTTTCTTATTGCTCATTAGATTCTGGATGAAGTCATTGTATGAATGGCTTTGATTTGTGTGTATAAATGCATTGACGTCACCATACATATATAAACAACACATGGGTCATGGGTGGTCTTGATATGGATTGTGATAATTGACGTACAAGTGAGCATATGGGATAAATAAAGGATTGGGTCATCTTCATTAAGCTCCAATAGAGTTTCTAGATGTAGTTTTGATTCTAATGCCATGATATAATTGTGCATGAGAAAATACTAGTATTTGTTTTTATTGCAATATGAAAATGCTTGTATCTAAGATTCATGAAAACACTAACTCAATATATTCAATTTATTTAGAGTCATGGAAGTTAAACGAATCTTATCTTGTATGAAGTACACATCTTTGTTTTAGTACGTTCTCTAGTGTCATATTGGCTTTATTTGAAAGTCATATGGTGTTTCGTTCGATCTCAATTTTCTCCCGTCTCCCAACTCGTCTTTGTCTTTGGCTCCTACAAAAAACTTAGAATATAGTACTTCCTCCGTTTACAAAAACACTCACTATTTCATTTTTACGTACAAAATCTTATCTTTTTAAAAATGATTTTATTTACAATTTGATATTGAAATAAAAAATAAAACTTACATGTTTAAAAACAAGCGTTGACAAAAATATTTTATTTTATTAAATGACTAATGAAAAACAAATGCAAGCAAAAATTATCGAGATGCCATAAATAGTAAATAGGAAGGGTTTTGGCAAACGGAGAGAGTAATATTTTTAACTTTTTAACAAATTCTTTAACTTTAAACAACAATCTAGTTGAATCTCATAAGCGTAGAGTTAGGAGAGGGTCTTTGTACATATAGACTTTACCTCTACTCCACACATACCGAAACCACCGCAAAGTAGCTTCATGTAGCGTATCATCAACGGGTGGCACTTCTACGTGTTCTTGGATAATCTCATTCCGTATCTTATCCAATTTTTTTGTATCCACTCATCTACCACAACATCCATATTTCTACGACATGCAGTTGACAAATATTTTTCTTAATCTCCCAATAATCAACGTTGTACAACATAGGCATTCTGCGGAGCGGTAAAACTTCCATTTCCTCCTAGATGAAATTTTCTTGCCCCATAGAATCTCTAAGGCCAACCTCCAATTTGCCCATGCTGGTTCAATACAATATGCAACATCCTTAGCTCGCACCCATCAGTGACTAAACTAAGATACTGAAACTAATATCTTTTAGATACCGAGCCGCTAATCAGTCTTCACTCCTACTGCAAATTCTTTAACTTTTATAAAAATTGAATCAGACTTTTGAACAAACTTTTTAATTTTCATAAAATTTAAATTGGACTTTTTGAATAAACATATGTCTAAACTCTAAAGTATTTCCAAAGAGATTTGACTTTTGAGTACAATAATTTCAAAGAGAAATTTGAGTACAATAATTTCTAAACTCTAAAGATTTGACTTTTGAGTAAATTCAAAGAGATTTGACTTTTGAGTACAATAATTTCATGATTAGAGTTAAGAAAGTTAGCATTAAGACAGATTAGCGTACATACTCAGGAGTGAAAGAAGAGCTCCCATTTTCGAGTGCCATCAACGCCATTGAATCGCTCAGAGCTTCGTAAAGAAGCCGTCCATGGCGTCCAAATCCCTAGACCCGAGGCGTGCTATCGAGAACTGTATATTTCACCTCCACAGTTGGAGACCCTTTCAGATTCAATCCAAAGCCCTAGGATCCGATTCGCCTAAACCCTATGCTTCTCCTCCCCAAGGCAATGCCTTCTTCAGCAAGCGACCCTGCCGCGCCGATCGCGCCACGGCGTTCCCCGTCGACGCCCTCGACATGTCGAAGCTCAGTCTGTTCGAGGAAGACCGGCCTTTATCGGTCCGAAAACGGGATAGGACCCACTGGATTGCTGGAAAGCGTCGACGTCGCGGATCCAGGTCGGTCTCCGGCAGAAGCAGCGAGCGCAGTGGGACCCGGCTGAGGTGCTGTTCCGTCGGAGCATCCGCGGCCTGCGGCACCTGCTCTGATCTTCCGATGGCTCCTGGGACGGATACGAGCGGGGAGCTGTTCGTGAATGGGGATGTGAATTGGGCTTCAGATGCGAGCGAGGCGGCTGCAGCAGCAGCAGCAAGACCTTCTAGGAGGGAGAGGGAGTGTGGAATTGCAGACAGGGAGAGTTCAAGTGCTGCTGCATTGCACATTGGCAATGCTGAGTGCCAGGGTAGCGAGTCTGGTTATGGAAGTGAACCAGGGTATAGAGGTGATGGGGAGATAGGGTATGGTGACGAGATCGACGAAGAAGAAGAAGATCAACGGCCCTTATTCTGGGGCCACGAGTTTGGAGGTATCCATTGCCTGACCTTTTCTTTACTCAGTTCTTGATTACATGGATTATTTCTATTCTTTGTGAAGCTTTGCACGCCATTTTGCTAACTATAAGCATTCAGTAACTCCCAAGTCCTATCAGAGGTCAATTTAGATTTTGTGAAGCGTATAAAGATGTTTTTGATGGTGTTAATCCTAAGGAAGCATTTTAATGTGACCGATAATTTACATAAGGAGCCTTGTTGATAGTATTCAGTTTGAGCATTTTGGGGTGGAGTGATAAATAATCTTAAAAACGGAGACGTAAAAACATATTTAAATAAACAACGTTCGAAGATTGTGTAGTTTCATTGCACAATCCAATGGCACCACAACAAGAACAGCAACAAACCCAATAGAATTCCACAAGAGGGTAGCGTATAGTAGAGGAGGTTGTGTGTATGCAGACCATACCTCTTCTTGGAAATAGAGACTAGAGATGTTGTTTCTGATGACACCACAATTCTTCAAAGAAAATAAGATTGGATTCACATGTCTGAGAAGATGAAGAATGAACATAAAGTTCAGAGGTGAAAAGCTCCTTTAAGATCTGCATTGGGGAAATTGCTTGCTTGAAGTGAAGTATGGTATGAAGTATGACCTGGAAATGTTTTAAGCAATAATTAGCATTTTGTACAGGTTTGGTTGGCCTCATTTTCTCTTACATTTATATCTGATGTCTTTGTCGTTTCACGATGTACATAGATGTATAAGCATTTATGTCCCAATTTTCATCGTTCTAATCTCTCTCCGCCGTGTATTTGCACAGCATCTAAAGCAGAGAGGATGGGCAAGAATGCAGCGCAAAAAGCTCATCATAGGTGCCGGCGCAGGAAGCACGAAATCAAAATGGTTGATCTTGCGAGATAAGAAAAACTTCACTGCCTCAAAATACTTGTAGTAAAGTTGCCTCAAATGTCACCACCCCCCCCCCTCCACCCCAACCTTTTTATTTGGGACCATGCTACAGTGACACCTAGTTTGACACCATTGATGGCACCACGCCACCACTGTCTCAAAGACACGCACACATAGTCATTATATGTGTATATGTAGCCGCACATACAACTTATGTAAGTCCATGGCTTTGTGAGATACACAACGGTGTCAAACTCTGGTGTTAAAAATGACATTTTTGTATTAATTGTGGGGTGTACATATAGGCTCAGTCCATGCAACCCATGTGGGGGCAGTGTGTCCGGGCCTGGGCCAAGCGCTCGATAGATGGGCTTGCATACACAGGCCCCATGAGAGGCCCTATTATACTCCATATGTCTGTACTGTGAAATGTGTGGGTTATGTTATTACTATACGCCCTGTACAAGTACATTGAACTGTCCAGAAAATGATTGTCTACTTGAAAAAACGGTGGGGTGGGCCTTGGCCCACTAAGAAACCAATCACATACACAGGCAGCAACCGGTTAGAAGTGGGTATATAGGGGAGGCTTGAAGGTGAGTTCGTATATTATGACACCACACTTTGAATTCACGTCTAAACTTTGTTGACAAATCAATTTGTGGGTTTATTGTTGTGGTTGAAACGTTCTCTTTCGATACCAACAACAAATGTGGACTTCATTGGGTTTGATAAGTGCTAAATTTCACAAGGGAAATGTTTTTTGTACACTGAAAAATGAGTACATGATTTCAAAAAACAACAAAAATATTAACATTATGTTTGGTTCAGAGAATTTGAGAACAAAAAGAAACGAAAATGAAAAGAAAAATATTTTTTTTGTTTGGTTAAAGAGGAAAAGAAAAGAAAAGTGGAAGGAAAAGAAAATAAGAAGGCAAAATATACTAAGAGGAAAGAAAATTAAACTTCTCTCATTTTGGTGATGAAAAATGAGGAAAAATTATTTTCTTTTCTTTTCCTATCAAATTCCTTGAAACATGCATAGTGTAAGTCTAAAAATATTTTTTTTTAACTTTTAAGAGAAGAATTTGTGTTTTATATTACTCTGTAATTTTTTCATCGGAACATCAATACTAATTACTGTATACGGACAATAGCCTTTGTGGTAAAAAAAATGATGAGAGATTTTTTTAAAAACTGAGATAGTTTGCTTTAGGTGGTAAAAAAATCAAATTATGAGGTACTCCGTATTAATTTAATTGTTCCATGAAGTTTGACTTAAGATAAATTTTAAAAATGAATAACCCATACATATCTAGAGAGTTACGTTTAAAACACTTATATTTCTCAAAAATAGAATCATTCGATAGCGTCTAACATAGAATCTTGTTTTTTAAAAAAAAAAAAAGATTTAATTTTTACTATCATATTTAATACGGAGTAATTCTCACGGCGCATTAAAAATATTCCAGGCATCTTGACTGTTAAAATTAAATTGTTTCAACAATTTATAAAAGTTATAGTTATATTTGATAACTGAAAAAAAATACTGTTCCTTTGAAACACTTTAATATATTCTCTTTGAAAAAATTTGTGTGCTTTTGAAATATCTTCATTATACTCTTGAAAAAATTACTGTCCTTTATAGAGAGTATACTCTATTTGCCCTAAAATAAAGTTTACCTTTTATTTATCATTCTTTCCGAAAGAGGCTTTACTATACTCGTCCCAAATCTAAACTCTCCATTCACTAGTTACATTGATTTTTTTTATCTATTTTCAGTAAAAAATTTTATATGATTCAAATATAAAGTACTATATAAAGTTTATTTTTAAATTTTGCAACAATCCTTTTATAAACTGAATTTAAAATATTTCTAATCATAGATCGTCAACCACAACGAGAAACTTATTATAGTACAAAGGAGGCATATTTATTTCATTTTATTTTAAAAAAAATAAAATAGATAGCTAACGTCAATTCATAAATTAATTAATACTTCCCCCTTTTGTTACATAAATCTTTTCAGACACTATTTAAAAGATTAAACTTCACTTGCTTTGCTTGTTTATTTTTATTACTCATTTTATAAAATAATATAGTCTTATTATTTTTATTTCTGTAAAATTTATCATATTGTTTTTTAATATATAAATTTTAGTTTTAAATTTTTATATCTACAATTAAATAAATTGAACTTGAAGGGAAGTAGTATTTTATAACATATCTTAAATTATGGAGTGAAATTGTCAAAATTTTCAGGGACAGGAAGTATACTACGGAGGAGTATATGACATCTCACTAGAGGTGGCAATCGGATCAACCGGATCGGTTCCGGATTGAACTTTTTCGGTTCGGATATCTTTTGGTTATATGTTATAATCGGTTCGGTTCGATTCGGATCGGTTAAATTTCGGTTCGGATTTGATTTCGGTTCTATACATTTTTCGGTTCGGTTCGGTTTCGAGTCGGTTCAGATACGGTTCGGTTATGAATCGGTTCGGATAAATTTTGATTCAGATACAATTTGAGTCGGATATATTTCGGTTTCGGGTCTAGTCCGGTTCGGATATATTTCGGTTTCGGATATATTCGATCGAGTGGACGGCAAATTATGAAAAAATATATTTTGTGATGATATAAATTTAATATCATAATATTAATTTTAAAATTTAGTTTTGATATATTAAAATTTTATCACTTCAAATAATATTATGAGTAATTTACCTAAATAGGGCTAAAACACAATGAGTTTCCCAATATAGGACCATATGTTTTTATTTCTCAATGTAGAACTTTTGGTCATTATTAATTAGTCATTATTCAAACAAATATCCATTATTAATTTATTACTGGACATTATTCCTCCCACTAAGACATTATTAAGTTCTCTCTAAGGAATAAAAAAGTTTAAGTCCTAGATTAAGAAAGTAATTATGTTTTAGTATTATTTAGTACAAATTTATTAATATCATTAGTTTTATCTTTATAAATAAAAAGATAAAAGATAAATTCAAATCGTATTAGGATTGTGTTACCACTTTTTGGGGAAGATGAGTCGAAGCAACTAGTTTTTATCTCGTGCTTTGCACTGACTCGCATACTTTTTTTATAAGTATAGCTATTTAAAAATGGTACTCCGTATTATATTAAAAAATAAAACTCACATTAAATAAATAAGAGAATAACTCTTTAAGTAATCCAATTACAATGTCTATTATTGATGGAATACATAAATATTATACATGTATGTGCATATGAAAGATAATACATTAACTCTTCTTAAATAACTTTGTTAGACATTTCATTTTTTGTAGATATCGTGGTATGCGAGGGTATG